AAAAAAAAAAAAAAAAAAAAAGGAAAGAAAGAAAGAGCACGAGAGCTTAAACATAAATAGCTCTCGATCTCAATACTTAATCAACAGTAATTTAATTTAACTAGCATCATTATATGGCTATAAGCCAAGCCATGTCCAATCCTAGCAGCTGGCTCTCACAACCCTACCACACCGACTTTTTCACCGTTGGACAAACGGAAAGTACCCCTCCAACGGCCGCCGCCCCCGGGGCCTCCAGGAACGGATTCAGCCTCAGCCCCGACCGTGGCCGCGTGGCCAAGCCGGCCCGCCGCCGGTCGAGGGCTTCACGCCGGACTCCGACCACCCTGTTCAACACCGACACGGCCAACTTCAGGGCCATGGTGCAGAGGTTCACCGGGGGTCCCTCCGCCGCGTACGCCGCCGAACCTCAGCTCCCGAGCGGCGGTGGGCTCAACTTCATCGAGCATATGACTTCCGGCGGGGGTCGGCCGGCGGCGCTCGGCATTGGAAGTCAGTATCCGAGCCAGGAGATGATGTTCTTGTTGGGCGGCGGCGGAGGGCCGGCGCCCGCACCGGCGCCGGAACCTGAGAATGTGGATAGGAGTTATGAAAACTATTTTAGCTAAATAAAACAGGTGGCCTGCTTTTTTAAATTATGTCACTTCAATTAATCTCTCTCTGTTTTAGTTTGAATATATTGTTTTGTTGTTTCAAATTATGACTTTCAGTTTGATGGGAAATAAAATAGGAAGAAAATGAAAAGAGATTTCCTATTTTGCAAGCTATCAATTTGAATGGGGGGTTTAGTAGTAATCAGTTTGTAGGTAAAGTTGTTGGCAGTCATTCAAAGATTATCGAGTTGTTGTATGATTTAGACTCTGACTGACCTTTGAAGATAATATTGGAAATTAATCATCTTTTGATGTATTAGATTTATCTCAATGCGTAAAAGCAACGATTTTGTTATGAAACCAACGGTTAGCTCTATAGTTGATTCAACCTTTTATATTTTGAACTCAATAGTTAGGGTGCGCATTAAATGAAAAGAGAAACTTGAGAGATGGGTTTATTTCTTTGTTGATTTTTGCATAGTTTTCAACCCGGACTGGACTCAGAGCCGGAACTGGTTTGGGTGAGCTATTTGAATTGGATAACAATGGATCCGGTCAAACCCAGTCTTGACTCAGAGCAGACTCGACGGCGTTAATCCAGTTGACTCGGTCTTTTTAATTTTTATAATTCTTTTAAATATGTTTTTTTTTTTTTT